CAACAAAGCAGCCACACGGGGCAAAGCAGCAGTGCCTGCTGGCACAGCCGCGCTGGCCGAAACAGACGCGCTGGTGACCGTGGAGCTCCTCCGCCTGGGAATTTCCTAGTCTGTAGGCAATAAAAACGTGGCGTCCACTCACCCTCTGCGCTTTCACTGGGAGCTGCAATCCTGAGCTCTTCCTAAATGGCCATCTTTGATCCTCCTCCTTTGTCTTTTTTTTAAGTTGGTGTTCCAGTCGCCTGTTGAAGTGGTGCCGGGGACTGTTTGTTTTCCCAGGCGGTCGCTCACTGCGCTGCCTTAAACGGCAGCACTGAGATTCGTGGCGCTTTTTTTTGCCCTGGAATCTACTGTCCTGGTTCTCTGCTCAGTCTGCTTTTTAAACAGACAAATGGGCAACTTCCCGAGGCTCCAATCACCAGCCAAAAGGGCACCTGGACTGGTGTATTTTGTATGGAGAACCGCTGCTCCCGGGTGGCCGACAAAACAGCCATGCGGCGCAAATAGTGGCACTGGCCAGCACAGCTGCGCTGGCCGAAACCGCCGCGCCGGCGACCCCTGGAGCTCCTTCGCCTGGGAATTTCCTAGTCTGTGTGCAATAAAAATGCAGCATCCACTCACCCTCTGCGTTTTCACTGGGAGCTGCAATCCTGAGCTCTTCCTAAACGGCCATCTTCGAAATAGTTCTTTATTCTGTCTGCACAGGACTGTTCAAGGGCTTAGCAAGGGGAATTTGAACTGTTAAAAACCTAACCCTAAAGTGTTAAACTATCAGAGTTGTGTTTTTTATCCCTAATTTCCTGGCCATAGTGTCTCCCTTTTCCGTTGTGGTGTGCCTCTGTCTCCTGGTGGCCATCAGTACCCCATCTGGTACAGATGCCACCGCCCAAAGTACACATCTACTGTTGTTTGCAGCCTTATCTGGGCCCTGTCTCTTTGCACCAACATAGTAAATTCACTTTTCCTAATTTACTGGAAACATGTAGAGGCATGTGTCATATTTCTAAAGATTTTTGAGCTCTTCCATGGTATCCTTTTACTTGTGATGTGTGTGCCAGTCTGACTCTGCTCATTAGACTCCTGTAGGCCACCAGGGTCTATGTGGTCCTGCAGATCTCAGCCACCGTGTTCCTGCTCTGGGTCCTACTGCTGACCGTGGCATCCTTCATATCAGATTTCAAAATGTTGGTCACCACTTCCTATTTAATTTCTTTGTTCCTCATTATAAACACCAGCGCCAACCCTATCATTTATTTCTTTGTGGGGAGCCTCAGAAAGAAAAGGCTGAAGGAACCTCTCAGAGTGATTCTCCAATGGGCATTAGCAGATAAGCCAGAGCTGGGGAGGAACACAAAGGCAGTTGGCATTGACTCTATGGAGCAGCGGGACTCTACTCAGTATGTGGAGAATCTTCTTCCCATGGAGCACCGAGTCAAAGTGGAAACATGATTTTCCACATCTGAGTAGGAGACTTTTACACATAGTAACCCAGCCTGTTCTGCCTCATAAGACTGCTGCACGAAATCAATGTTTTCTTCTAATCAAGTACAGGTTTCATGAACTTTCAGAACAACTCTTGCTGTTTGTGGTTGGAAGAGACATTAACTTCCTTTCTAGGCAGTATACCCTGTTTGAATGAGCTCCAGTTCCAACAATAAGGGGAATGCGACCCAGTGAGACTTTCCTGGTATCTGTGGAATCCCAAACAGGGTCTATAGAAAAGGCCATGCATTATTCTCTGTCATTATCCTGGAGCATCCTCCAAGTCCAGCCATAAATTTTCCTCTCTTTGTCTATCTCCTCCTTAAATAGAGCCTGAACTTACCTGTACTACCTGATTCTCTACACCAAGAGCCATCATCAAATAAGAAGTAAGAGCCAGCGTTTTGCACCCAGATTGCCTTTGTCCAAACTTTGGCTTTCCCATTCAAAGCATGTCATTGTGGGCAAATTACTCTCTGTAAGTCTGTTTCATCTTATGCAAGAGAAAGATAAAGTTGGCATTTAATACGCATGGTTGGTATGGGGATTAATTAACCTTATGAATATATAGGACTCATTGGATTTTATTTACAACATGTATAATAATTATTTAGTAAGGATGATGTGTTGCAGTGTGTTAAATAAATGTACAAATACATTAAGTTGCATAATGTAATCCCTCCTTACATTATGCAACCCAATTTGGTTGGGTTAGAATTACAACCAAACTTTAGACTTTGAAGAAAATAAATTTACCTTATCCCTTCTCCAACTTAATACCATTTAACTTGCCATCTTACTTACAAAACTCTTATATTGGCTTTCTTTTGTTGAATGACACACATTCTTTTTGCAAATTTTCTTTATTCTGTGATGAATTATGTCATTCACTATTTTTCTTGTCTTTGCCTTTTCCACTTTTTATCTCTAGTTAAAAAGGTCAATTTGAAGAGCATCTCTATGACCACATTTGCCATGAAATCTTATTGTTCTTTTATTTCTTATAACATTATTGTAATTTCTAATGGCTCCACTCTTTTGGTCTTATTTTAAGCCTCTTCTAGAAGATAAGAAATTTTGTGAGATTGAAGTCATTACTTCATGATTCAGTTTCTGAGTTCCAGTGTTTGCACATAATAAGTTTTAATAATACTCCTTTGTAATTTGAATAAAAATTGCATTTCCTTTAACTACATATCATTTATTTCAGCCTTATTAATCTTATGTCTATGATTTTAGACAATCCTTCAAGGGCTAGAATTGGCATTCTATAATATTGCTTTATATATATATGATATTGCTTTATATGTATATGCTTGAAATTCTAGCTATTTGGATATATTATTTTATTGGGGTCAAATAATATAACCAACAAAATGTTATTATTAACGTTATTTGGATTTCTTTGAGATTTACTCTGTGACTGAAGACTTGGTCAGTTTTGTCTACCATGGTGTTTAAAATAATGTATAATCTCCTTTTAAGGTGTAATTTATCAAACAACTCAATTTTTTTATGATTTCTATATATGCTTATTCAATTATGTGTACCTGTTACTCAAAACAAAGAAGATTCGTTCAAGCCTGATATTAGAATATTTGGTGAACTCTTCATTCCCTTATTGCAACATTGTGTAGCTCATGTCTCATGATGCTGTCCATTCAGGAGCATGTTAAGGAGGTGTCAGAGCAAAGGAAGGGGCATGAGGCTTCTCGTGGACAGGTTTTTGTCTCTCAATTTCTGTTAGCTCTCCACCTATAAGCAGATCAGTCCTTTTCAGTTGTCCGAGCTGCAAATATAATTTCCAACATTTTCATTGGTCACTTCACTTTGGTTATGATTAAAAAAATATTGTTGTCATGCACACCATTTTTATAAATTTGAATTTGTCAGTCTTTTATGGCTTAGGTATTCTCAGTTATGATTAAAGAAGTTTTACCTACATCAGACAATATAAAATGAATCTATACTGTCTTAGAATACTATTAAATTATTTCATTTGTAAACATGTAAATATTTGATCAATTTTATTTTTTTTACTGGTAGATAGTGTGAAGTATGAGCCCAGTTTCATATTTTATGTTAAATGGCTAAAGTATTCAACCTTATTAGTCATCACAAGCACTGCATAATGATATATGATTTCCTACCCCTTTTATTAATAAGCTTCAATGGCTGGACACACAGAAGAATATAGAGGATTTAATGTCTTCTGCAACCAAAGTAGTGAGTTTAAGTTATTACTTTTGTTGGGGAAAAATTGAGTACTGTACCTTAAAATTATAAACACACATACACTTATAATGAATGTTTAAAGTTTTATTGCTCCATTTTTACAGAGCCAAAATAGTGTTACCAAATTATGTCCATTACAGGGTGTTTATTGAAACAATACTTGTTTTACCTGCTCCCAAGGCAGAAAAGCCCACTGTCTCTACTGTAGAGATGCAATTGGGAGGGACTGGGCGACTGGGCACTTTCATACCTGTAGCTGTGATACAATTCTCCAAGGCAAAGCCATTAAGTAGGACTTGGCAGGAACTGGTACCCATAGCTAGGAATGGGAATCTTCTTACCAAAATAATAATAATAATAATAATAATAATAATAATACATTGATAAATATGTTCATGAGATCGTTTCCAGAAAATCTGTAAGAGAGAAGATTTTAATAAAATGAAATTACTACTCCCCACCTCTTAAAATAAAAGAAAAAAAAATGAAACAAAACCAAACTAACAAGTGAAAAAAACATGACAAAAAAACATATGTTGAGACCCAAAGGCACAAACCTGAACCCTGGCCTTTTGCCAAAAGAAATGGGATTGTGAAATATGAACAAACATTAGAAGGGTGTTTCACCTCAAACACCCAGGTATGACCACAAAATAAACCAAATAAGGCAAATCTCCCAGAGGGAAGTTCCAGTGTCCATGGATGATTCTCCAGATAGATTAGGTGAATTCTTCTGAAGAGAAGAACAGATTACTGTGAGCCTGTGGGTGATGGACCTTACTTTGCTGAAGAGTGTGATTCTGTCTGTTCTTGTGCCCAAGAAGGTACAGCTGGAAAGGACACTTACTGAATTAATGGAATTAAATGCCCATCACTTGGGTGCCTGAATGGAACTAGAGACAGTAATAAGATGATACTAGATACAGTTCTTTACAAAATAATGGTGCATTTTGCATAGATGCTAATATTTTAATTTTAATTTGGACAAGGGAGGGAGGTGTATATAATTCTGGGGTAGGTAAAAAAGGCCTATGTGTTAGTTATATTGAGGGCACTGCTATATCTCATTAGAGGGCACTCTAATGAGATGTAGCAGGACATTCTATGTGGTATGGCCCTGAGAAGAGTTTTCGCAGATATGAAAAGAGACAGAAGGAAAGGAAGTTCTTTTTTCTTATGTTTCATATCATATTCTGAGTATGAAGTCATATCCTAATCATTTGGAAAGCATGCTCAATGAGGAATGAGGACAATATTCTGAAGATGCCAGAGGTGAAAGTGGATAATTCTACTTTTTTCAAGACATTGTGTCACTGACTTGAATATCTTGCAGCAGCCCTATCTATAGGTTTCTTGGACTTCAATATCATACATCACTGACTGTTCAAATTAGTTGAGATCTCCATGAGGAGTGAAGATAGTTAATGCCTAAAGCTGAGGCGTTACCTCACTGGGTCAACTTAGCTGTGAAGGGAGGTCAGTTATCACCTTGCAAATCTTTTGGTAACTCAAATCTTGGGATGATTTCTTTATTAAGAATTTGGGGGCCGGGCGCGGTGGCTCACGCCTGTAATCCCAGCACTTTGGGAGGCCGAGGCGGGTGGATCACGAGGTCAACAGATTGAGACCATCCTGGTCAACATGGTGAAACCCCGTCTCTACTAAAACTACAAAAAATGAGCTAGGCATGGTGGCGCGAGCCTGTAATCCCAGCTACTCAGGAGGCTGAGGCAGGAGAATTGCCTGAACCCAGAAGGCAGAGGTTGCGGTGAGCCGAGATCGCGCCATTGCACTCCAGCCTGGGTAACAAGAGCGAAACTGTGTTTCAAAAAAAAAAAAAAAAAGAATTTGGACACTTCCAGTGCTTTTTCTGTCCTTGTGGGGAAAGCTTCTATCCACCTGGTGAAAGTGTCTGTAAATACTAGCAAACACTTTAGTCCCTGTAAGGCGGCCTCTGGGTTAAATCTGTCTTGCAGTCTCCCCATGGTGTGTTACTTGGTGTTGCACAGGTTTAAGTGGGGATCAGGGTGAGGGGCAACTTCCCAAGTTGTAACCCTTTTTATAGTCTGGAACAATCCCTTCTCCAAGAATATTTGAGAAACTAGTGAATAGAGAATCCTATCCCAAATGTGAGGAGTCATGAAAATGTTTCATTATTTCCTGTTTCTCAGCCTCAGGAATAGAGTTTTGTTTCTTTTCTTTTTTTTTTTTTTTTTTTAACTATTCTTATGCCTTTGCAAGTAATAGAGTTTATTTTCTAGCAATCATCTGAAGGTCTCACTGGAAGCCTTGTTTTCAGTCCTTTTAATTTCCTTAAGGGTATAGTAATATGGTGCTGCTGACATGGATGGAGTACTTGGTGGTAGTACAGCAGCCTGGAATGCCAGCCTTAGCTGCTCTTTCAACCAGGCCATCTCCTCTAATAATAAAAGTGTCTCCCTTCTGGTATCCCCTGAAGTGAATAATTTTTATTTCCTTTGGGAGTTGGACAGCATCTAAAAGTTGCAAGATCTGGGTAAAGTTGTATGTGTGATCCTTAGTTATTGATAGTCCCCTTTCCTTCCCTATGGCTGCCTGAGCATGGAGCACCAGGAACCCAGATACACAGTCAGTAAATACATTGACTCTTAAGTTTTGTTTGTTTATTTGTTTGTTTGTTTTTGTAACAGGCTCTTGCTCTGTCACCCAGGCTGGAGTCCAGTGGCATGATTTCAGCTCACTGCAAACTCTAC